CAGCAGCAGGAGCATCAGCAGCAGGGGCAGTTTCAGCAGTAGCAGCAGCAGGAGCAGCAGCAGGAGCATCAGCAGCTGGAGCAGCAGGAGCATCAGCAGCTGCAGCAGCAGCAGGAGCATCATCAGCAGCAGGAGCATCAGCAGGAGCATCAGCAGCAGCAGGAGCATCAGCAGCATCAGCAGGAGCATCAGCAGGAGCATCAGCAGCAGCAGGAGCATCATGTGCGCTCCTCTCTCCGCGATCGCGGCCTCAGCTGCGCCACGGCGCTCCGCCTGCTCGCACGCGCCCGCCTTTTGTATGTCTCCGCTTTATTTCGGTACCGTCTTGGTTATCCCCCTCCTCCTCCTCTCCCTCTGGTAAAGTGACCGCACTAATTATAACGTAGCCAGCAAAACAGCCTCGCACGTGGCAGACGCTGTCTAATGTATATAGCCCCGTGCATCCACAACAACTCGTCTGTCTTACACGTCTCCGTCTTGTCTGCGTGTCTCAGTGCGTGTGTGGGGGGGGTGGGGGTATTTGACACCGTTGCTGAGCACAGGAAGCTCATCGGCACTGTTAACAAAGTTGCTTTGGGTTTGATCGCGTTAATATGTACCTCTGTTATGGATACTGGTCGCGAAAGCCTCCGTATTAAAGTAGCAGCAGATACAGTTGTAAACACGGGGTCATTATGCTTGGTTCTTTCCGTAAAGTCACGTAGAAGGAAAATAATTAAATTAAAAAAATATTAAACAATACAAAGTCTCACAAAGTTTCGACTGCAATACAAGCAATCGTCATCAGGTGTGAAATCCACAGCACGAAAATTTCAAATTTTCTTGCTGAAAAATTAAAAATGTTCTTGCTGTGTTGCAGTCGAAACGTCGTGAGAATTGTATTGTTTTATGTTTTTAGTATTTTATTATTTCCCTTCTTCGTGACTTTACCGAAAGAACCAAGAATATGAATCCCTGCGGTCACGAAAGCTTTAAATCTAAATTTCACGGGGTTATTGTTGTTATTATTATTGTGAGAGCTTGGGGAACATAGAGACGACGACGATGATGACGGGAGAGGGGGAAGGGGAGTGGAGCAGAGAGAGAGCAGTGAGGTGACACGCGGTGTGGGTGGGTTCGGGAGCGATTGGGTGAATGAGTGAGTTGTCATCTGTAGTGTGGGTGATGAGACACAACACTCAGGGGCCGTCCATAAATGACGTCACGCGATTTTGGACGATTTTGACCCCCCCCCCCCCCATCGTCACACGGCGTCACAAAAAGTCAGACCCCCCTCAAATATGACGTCACGAAGCTCTGCCCCCCCCCCCCCCAAAATAAAACATGCTTCAAATTGCTTAAAACTATTGTCATTGTAGTGCGTATTTAATGTGGCGCTGCACTCTGATGTTGTAGGAGAAAACATTTATTAAAACGTCTATTTAATTAAGTAGAACGTGTTGTCTATATTTATTTAAAGTTTCGCATTTTCATGTGACGTCACATTTCTCAAACCCCCCCCCCCCTCGTCACACATCGTCACAAATGTCTGACCCCCCCCCCTCCCAGGTGCGTGACGTCATTTATGGACGGCCCCTCAGGGTCTTTGTTGATATAGGGTCCTCAACATTGGTGGAGGAGCCAATGTGTACAGTCCACTGGCCCCTTGAGCGTGTTGCTAGCGAGAGTCGCTTTGCCGGGCCCCGTGACCAGCAGCGACACTCGGCAGGAAGCGCAGCTCCCACAACACCCCGCAATGGATACTCCGCGCCTTATCAAAACCGTGACAAGAACAATTCGACGTTTCTATGGCCAAGTCCGGTTATTAATAAATGCAACAATCACCGCGGCATCCTCCATCAAACGGTGCTTTACATTTGCTCACCAAAATGAGGGTGGTGGCGATGACTGTGGTGGCAGTGGTGATTGATGATGATGGTGATGGCTATGTTCAATATGTTGGTGGTGGTGATGATGGTGGTGGTAGTGACTATGGTAATGGGTAGTGGTGATTGATGATGATGGTGGTGGTGATGATGATGGTGGTGACGATGGTAATAGGTGGTGATTGATGATGATGGTGGTGGTAGTGGTTACTATGGTAATGGGTGGTGGTCACGGTTTGTTCATTTCACCGAGACGCAGCGAGAGGATGAGGATGACAACGATGAAACTGCAACAGCCATCGATGATGGCAACTACGGTCCTTGGGCGAATGACTTATCGTCCCAAAGAGACGGCGATCCCGCAAAAACCAAATTAATTCCCCAAATCAGACCACCGTCTTCCGTATGCGCACAACCGCCTGTGTCACTCCACTGCTGTACGTGTATTATGAAACAATCGATAGCTATCGATTCGTCGATGCATCGTTAGGTCCCCATAGGTTGGGAGAGTTCAAACACCAGTTGTTGGTCGACTTATCCCGTCATCCCTTCGGTGCCAATACATTGAGCCACACTTGATTGAATATCAACGGTGATAACAGTCGTACGTGGCGACTACCGCAGGCCATAGGAATGTGGAACTTCCATTGCTGTCTCAAGCGACCAAATGATCGCATCACCCGACATCGGCCCAGGCTCGCCTGATCTCGGAAGCTAAGCAGGTGTTGAGCCTGCAGAGTGCTCGGATGGGCGACCACCACCGCGCATAGCAGGTGCTATAGGCTGCGTCTGCGGGTCAACGTTGTCAGCAGAGGGCGGTGCCGCAAACTACACCCTTGTCCTGCACTATGCTCCAACGTCCATGCCCCCCCCACCCCTCCCTCTTTAACCCGCACTGACAAGCATGGTGAAGTATGGTCAAACAACCCCCACAACTCGAATGGGGCGAACCCTTATCCAGCAGTGGCAGGGCCGGCGAGCCTTGGGGGGGGGGGGGGGGGTCGAACAACAACAACAAACGAGCCCCACGATGTGAGAAGTCAACAGAGCACGCGTCCAGTGCGGGAGACCCCCCCCCCCGCCACCGCCGTCGCCGCGTGTCGCAAGAGCGTGGAGACGAAGTCGTTTCGCAACTGCACGAGACTCCCACCACCACCACCACCGCCGCCGCGTCCCCAGAGAGGAGCAGCTCCGTGCGCTCCGTGAGTGCGCGCACTGCGCCACGGCGCGTTCACGACGACGTCTGCGGCACGTGCGTCAACGCCGCACCTCCACCGCCTCGTCGCCTACATTCCTGCGCTGGGAGTCTCGAGGGGAATCGTCGCCACCTCCTGGCGGACCGGCGGGCCGCCAGGCCTCGGGCGATAGTTGGCAGCGCGAGACTCTGGGCTGCTTGCCAGCTTTGGTTGTGGCTCTCCTGCCCCCCCCCACGATGAGTTCGATGTACGAGCATCATCCTCCTCCCGCTCCTCCCGCCCGTCGCCTCTCTGGCGCTCCGATGCGCGCGAGTTCGATTCCAGCTCACGGCCAATACCCGGTGACGATTATCTGAACCGGTCCTGGGCCTCCGCCCCTAGGTCGACTCAGCCTCAAATAGGTACCTGGTGCGGTGTGTAAACATCGTCACTGGGGAGACAAAGGCGGTCGGGCGTGGTGCTGGCCACCCACCCTTTCGTGTTCCGTGCCGGCCTTCATAGGCGCTCGCTAATAGCACTTGCCCCTACAGTCTGTTAATGCTATACTGGGGGAGGGGGGGATCTTGTCTTGTGCATGAACCCGTGCGTGTCTCCGTGTCTCGGCGTCCCAGAGGCCTCCGTCTCTCGCCCTCTCCCACAGACACCGCCATGCAGGTCGCCACCGCGCTCTGCGCCGCGTTGCTGTGGGCATCGCGGATGGAGGCGGGTGAGTGACCTCTCTGCCCGGCTCGCCACGCCGACTCCGTCACCACTCTCGCCCATCAGGCACCGTCCCTTCTCGCGTGGTGGGCGTGAGCCGGGTGCACGCGACGACGATGATGATGATGACAGTGATACAATGATGATGTTAATGATGTTTTGGTATGAAAGTATTTCAACTGGAAAATCCATTGAGAAAGAAACATCTCGCTTTCGAGGGTAACAATTTATGATCATAACGATGATGGTGATGATGGTGATGATCATAACGATCGTGACAATGTTGGTAATCATCATTAGTACCAAAATATAATAATAGGGGTTTTCCCCTTTTTTCTGGCAACAAAACTGAAACCGTTCTACGAGGAATGATGTTTGCATTACCCACAATACTTGTGGTCAAAATGCAACAACAACAAAAAACACACTTTGATAATAAATGCATTGTCCTTGAAACTGATTGGTCCACACCAGAGACGGCTTTCTTTTGAGCCTCTGAGCCTCGTCTCAATTGGTGCTCGACCAGAGGACGTCAAAAGGCGTACAGCTCAAAGACAATGCACTATCAAAGTAATGAAGGCTCGGGGTTATGATAAATGATTAATTATAAATGTTGGTGATCGTAACGATGACAATGATGACGATGCCCCCCCCCACGTGTCGCGCGCGCGCAGCGATCCACGCCGGGGTGCGCGTGCGCGTGCGTCCGGGCTGGGCGGTGCGCGCGGGGGACCGCCTGAGCCTGTGGTGCGAGGTGACCCTACTCGGGGGGCTCCCCGGGGGACCCCTCTCGCCCGTCGCACACGACCCCGACCTCCCGGCCGCCGTCACCGTGCGCTGGCTGCGTGTGCCGAGTTCCGAGGGAGGGGCTCGCGAGCCCGCGCCGCTCACGCTGGTGCTGGAGACGCGAGGGACGCAGGCGAGCGGTGCATCGGCGTTCCGCGTTCACGATATTCGCGGCGAGCAGAGGCGGCGTTAGCCCCGCGGTGTAAAGCGCGCGCGCTGCGCTCCTGACGAGAGACGCGCTCCTCTACGCCGCGGTGTCTCACTCAGTAGCGCTCACCGCACGTTCAATCTCATCAACTCACTGGAATGGGCACCCCCCCCCCCACCCAGAGGCAGCTCTTCCCTGGCTACCTTCCCGCTCGTCTGTGATTTCCGTCGCCTCTGAATCATCATCATCACCATCATCTCTCGCTATCCGTGCGGCGCGTCACCAACACCGAGTCGTTGTGGGTTGCAGACGCCGCGTGCCGGGCCGGGCTACGGCGCCCGCGTGCGCAGCGGGGAGCTCTGCGTGGAGGCGATGTGCGGCCGCCGTCTGGGACAGAAGCTCACCGTGGGCCCACTCCGCGGGGACGACGCCGGCGGCTACGCGTGCGAGGCCGCCTGGGACCTCCCGCGCTCCGCGGGGGCCACGGGCTCGGGCCGGGGGCCGCGCGCTGTGGCGCGTGCCTACGCCTACGTCCACGTCGACGGCAGCGGTGAGCGCGGCGGGGTTCGTTCGGCACGCGTTGAACACCCCGGGATTCGGGACAGCTCGTCACGTGGCCCGCCGCCTCCTCTCGGTGTCTCCGTGTCCGAGTGCAGGAGCCGCGGTCGCGTTCTCGGTCCGCGTGTGGCCACCCGAAGCGTCCTCCGTGGCCGAGGGGCACCGCGCGGAGCTGTGGTGTCTCGTGTCCGGTCTCCCTGCGTTCCGCTCGGCCACGGGTCCCGGCGCCGACTCGGAGTCGAACTCGGCCGTGGCCGTCCGCTGGTTCCACGCCCCGGCGGGTGCGAATCGCCTCCCGGTGCACGGCTCGTCACGAGGCGGCGCACTGACGCTGGCTCAGAGGTCGGGGAGGGGAGAGGCCGCACGGCTGAGACGCCGGGTTCCAATCCGGGATTCAGCCGCAGCCCGTGATGAAACAGGCTCCGCGGTGTCGTGAGTTGATGGTCTTCATCACCAATGCCTCGCGCGATGGAGGAGCGGCTAATCCGAAGGCCCAGTGGTAGCGCACGTGCCGCTTGTTCCTGCTTGTTTTTGTCGGCTCGCAATCTGGCAGGCCACTTTGGACGCCGCTGCAGTTTATATTCACCATGAAACACAGTGGGTGTTGAAGATCCCATCGTGAGATTGGGGATAAGTAGGTCACGGTGTGCTGGCTTCATGGTCCGCATCTTAATGATATCCACTAATTACTCAACTGGGATTACGCATTGTAACATTGTCCCCTGTCGTGACACTTCGCGCCGTCACTCGCCATTGCTTCGCCCGACTGTGGCATGCGTACCACGTGGGCAAATGTATTATTATCATTGACACCACCAATAGGATTTATACCACCACCACCATCACCACCATCATCTTAGACCGTGACCAGTACACCTCCTTAACCCATAACTACCCCCCCCCCCCCCACTCCCTTCCCCAACCCCCGCAGGAGTCGCGGCCACAGAGAAAGGCTCCGTGCTCCTGAGTCGCACGACGAGTGGCGACGTCTGGGCCCACGAGCGGCACAAGTGAGGCCCACGGCCCACGGCCCACGGCCCACGGCCCACGGCCCACGGCCCACGGCCCACGGCCCACGGCCCGGACACAACCACCGAGTTCACGGACCACGCCAATACCCCGCCCGCTCGCCACTCAGCGACGGCGAGGTCACCACGGCGCCTGTGCCAGGCTAGGTGCACCACGGTGGAGCCACCAAAATGAGTCCGTGCCGAGAGAGCAGGGGCCAAACGCCGCCCAGGGATCGTCATCCAGGGCCCTCACGCCACACGAGGCCGACCACCTCGAGAGGTCCCGTAATCGATATCGATCCTTCAAGCAATCGATATCGATCCTTCAAGCAATCGATATCGATCCGTCAACTGCACGCACCCCAGCCGCACTGCTCGGGCACTGTGTCCTGTTTGTTTGACCAGTCAACACCGCGCTGATAGATATTTCTCTGTTTCTAACCTCATCACGCCCGGTCACACTCGTTCCGAATTTCGAGTCGCTCCGAAGCGAACCGTGACTACAACGGTTCTCGTGCGAGTAAAGGTTCAGAGTCGGCCACCGCTCACACATCGCCCCTCCTCGTCCAGCTACACTGCCTCTCTGTGTGCCATCGTGGCCCCTTGACATTTCTCACATCCCGTTTGTAAATCTCGCCACCGCCTGCCTCATCCTCACCGCCTCTTCTCTCGTCTCACGGCACGCTCCTGCTCCGCTCTCCGCGTTCTAAATCGTTGCTGTTTATTTCTGTTCGTCCTCCTCCTCCTCCCTGCCCACAGTCCTCAGTATCGCTCGTTCTCACCCCTAGCCCCTTCTTCACTCGAATACACTGTCCTTGCACGTCAATCACCCTCTCTCTTCTCCTAAACCCCTCTCATTCTGTCTTGCCCACCCTGTCCTCCCCACTCGCACGAACGCCGCCTTCCCTGCCCCCAACTCCCCATGGTCACCCACCATCAATCCAACCCCGGCTCATTCCCAACTTCGTTTATTCCATGCATCGCCACCACAACCCCCGCCGCCGCCGCCGCCTCGTGTCACACACACATCCCATCCGCTCATCTCCTTTCCCCTCGCAAACCATCCCGTGCCACAGTTCACCGTGCAGCGCCTCGCTCAAGTCGCAGTCTAAGACGCACGACACGGAGAACGTTCGGTGGGGGCGTTGGTCGCGTTAGCAGGGACGGCACCACCACTACCCCCACCACCACCACCACCACCACCCCCACCACCCCCCCCACCACCACCCACACCACCACCACCCCCACCACCACCACCCCCACCACCACCCCCCCCCCCCACCACCACCACCCACACCACCACCACCACCACCCACACCACCACCACCACCACCCGCACCACCACCACCACCACCCCCACCACCACCACCACCCCCACCCGTACCACCACCACCACCACCCGCACCACCCGTACCACCACCACCACCCGCACCACCACCCCCACCAACACCACCACCACTACCCCCACTACCACCACCCCCCCCACCACCACCCCCCCCCCACCACCACCACCCCCCCCACCACCACCCCCCCACCACCACCACCCCCACCACCACCACCAACACCACCCCCACCACCACCATCACCACCCCTAGCCCCCACCACCTCCACCCCCACCACCACCACCATCACCCCCATCACCACCCACACCACCACCACCACCCCCACCACCACCCACCCCCATCACCACCCTCACTACCTCCACCCCCTCCACCACCCCCACCACCCCCACCACCACCACCACCCGCAACCACCCCCACCACCACCACCCCCACCCGCACCACCACCACCACCCGCACCACCACCCCCACCACCACCACCACCCCCACCACCACCACCACCCCCACCACCCGCACCACCACCACCACCCCCACCCGTACCACCACCCCCACCACCACCACCCGCACCACCCGTACCACCACCACCCCCACCAACACCACCACCACCTCCACCACCACCACCCTCACCACCACCACCACCACCCCACCACCACCCGCACCACCACCACCACCCCCACCACCACCACCACCCGCACCACCACCACCCCCACCACCACCACCCCCACCACCACCCCCACCAACACCACCCCACCACCCGCACCACCACCACCCCCACCACCACTACCACCCCCCCCCCCCCCACCACCACCCACCCCCATCACCACCCTCACCACCTCCACCCCCTCCACCACCCCCACCACCCCCACCACCACCACCACCCGCAACCACCCCCACCACCACCACCCCCACCCGCACCACCACCACCACCCGCACCACCACCCCCACCACCACCACCCCCACCACCCGCACCACCACCACCACCACCCCCACCCGTACCACCACCCCCACCACCACCACCCCGCACCACCCGTACCACCACCACCCCCACCAACACCACCACCACCTCCACCACCACCACCCCCACCACCACCACCACCACCCCACCACCACCCGCACCACCACCACCACCCCCACCACCACCACCACCACCACCCGCACCCACCATCACCCCCCACCACCACCACCCCCACCACCACCCCCACCAACACCACCACCACCCCCACCACCACCCCACCACCACCACCCCCACCACCACCCCCACCAACACCACCACCACCCCCACCACCACCACCACCCCCACCACCCGCACCCCCACCACCACCCCCACCCGTACCACCACCCCCACCACCACCACCCGCACCACCCGTACCACCACCACCCCCACCAACACCACCACCACCTCCACCACCATCACCCCCACCACCACCACCACCACCCCACCACCACCCGCACCACCACCACCACCCCCACCACCACCACCACCCGCACCACCCCCACCACCACCACCCCCACCACCACCCCCACCAACACCACCACCACCCCCACCACCACCCCCACCACCACCACCACCACCCCACCACCACCCGCACCACCACCACCCCCACCACCACCACCACCCCACCACCACCCCCACCACCCCCCCGTGTCGAGCCCCGCGTCTGCGCGCCCCTCCGCGCAGGAGCCGCTTCGCGAGCGGCGCCATCTGCATGGAGGCCGCGTGCCTCGCCTCGGCGTTCCGTCTCGAGCTCAACGACTTCTCGGCGGGCGACGGCGGCCGCTACTCGTGCGAGGTCCTGGACCGCTCTGGCGAGGAGACCGCCAAGGCCGGCGCCGAGACGCTACTGCTGCTGGGCGAGGGACACGGTCGGTTTCTTGCCGTCACCCGCCGGGAATGGAGTTGAAAATTTGACTTTAAACTTTCGTGACTGCAGGAATTCATATTTTTGGGTTCTTTCGGTAAAGTCACGTAGATAGAAAATTTTAAAGTAAATAAAATAAAAAAATACGTTTCGATTACGATACAAGACGATCGCCTGTGTTGTGATCGAAACGTCGTAGTTTTTATTTTGTTTACTTTAATTTTTCTATTTACGTGACTTTGCCGAAAGAACCAAAGAATCAGAATGGAGTTTATTTTTAGATCTAATTTGTATTGATACATTCCCTACCCACCCACCCCCCGCCACCCCCACATTCTGTCTATCTGGATTGACGTTTGATGCCGTTTCAAGCGACACGTCGCGTATCTCAAATCGCTACGTTCGGGGGCCGTGGGAATCGCTCGACTTGTCAGCACAATAATGACCGCATTAATCGCTTGCACGTGCGACACTTTCATTTGTCGAGCTATGTCGGGTGGTGAAGGGTTTCACGACGTAAAATTCGGGCCAGATTATTACGTGACCGAGCCACAAATTAACTAAGAATCGTGACATTGGCCGCGGAACACACGCGTCGACTCAACGTGATCCCGGACGCGCTACCGGCGTCACGTCACGAGGACGGCATTCGGGGTGGAGAAGGACCCACGGAGGTGGATATCACAGAACAACCGCCGAGGTCCCTTCAACCGGGCAGCGCTTTCCCGTCCCACAGAGCAGCCGCGCGAGCGGCGTCCCTCGAGGGAACCGTGGCGGCATGCAGGCGGCGGCGGTGAAGAGTCGTGAAGGTCACGTGAAGGTCACGGGCCGCACGCTCGCAGAGGCCGATTGACAAACGCCCAGAGCCCTGCAATTGGCAACGACAACAAATCCCACGATCTGCTTCTGATGTGTATCGATCGCCACCCCCCCTCCTACCGCCCACCTCGGATCCCCGCCACTGCCGATACGTCGGCGGCGTCCCACCAGCAAAGCGCGAGGGCCACAGGATCGGGCAGGAGTCGGATGGCGACCTCGTAGAGGCCTCGTCTCGGAGCGCGGCCCCTGTGCTTGTGGTCCCCACGCAGGTGGAGCCGCCACGGCCACGCCGCCGCCGCTGGGGTGGCGTCACGAGGAGGAGTTCTCGGGGGACGGGGAGGAGGGCGGCGAGGGGGCAGAGATCCCCGCGGGCCTCCTCGGGACGACGACTCCGCCTGGCGCGCTCTTCCCCGCCGAGCACGCGTTCACGGAGGAAGGCGAGCACCCCCCCACCCCCCACTCCCGACACGAGCGGCCGCGTGACCTCGATAGCGGCGCCCCCCCCTCCCCCCACGGTCGTACTCGCAGAACGACCACCACGGACGTCGCGGGTCGAGTTAAAATACCAACCCGGCACGGAACGCGCCACGAGCGGTGACGCGTTCGTCGCTCGTCTCGAGGGGCTCGCGGTTCGAGTCTGGCAGGCCGTGTCCCTGCCCGTTGCCGCGGGCGCACTTCCGTGCGGTGCGGAAGATGTTCAGCGCGGGCACGCACGTGCAGAGCAGCACGGGCGTCATGGGAATAGAGTCGCGAATTGCGTGGCCACGTCAGGACTCAAATGTGCCACATTTGTAAAACGCCACCGCGAGTTACTCCACTAGGATCACTCGCAGCAACACTGCCCCCCCCCCCCCCCCCGCTGCAGACCGCGTGACAACGTCAGCGCCTCCCTCCTTCCTCCCTCCTTGGCCACGGCTCAGGTGCCGCGGCACGGCCGCTCGGAATGCCGGTGTGGGTAAAGCGCGCGTGCGTGTGCGGGCTGCCGCGGCTCGCCACGTCTCGGCGCGGTGCAGAGGTCGTGGCCGCAAGACGCAGAGGACGTGCCGAGTTGCAAACGGGCCGAACTTTTAAATGAAGTTGAAATAAGAACGACGGAGGTTTACCAGCTCCATAATCTCTCTCGCCCCCACCCCTTCCCTCTCACCCCCTGCAGTCTACTTCGGGCCGCTGAGCGCGCGCGTCACCCCACGACCCCTGGTCCACGCGCGCCAGGGCTACCCCCTCGCCCTGGTGTGCGAGGCGGCGGGGGGCGCCGCCACCCCGGGTTCGCTGCCCCCCCCGCACAGCCAAATCGTCGCGCTGTGGACGCACGCGCCCCTGGGCCACACGGGGCCTCCACGCGCACTCCTCGTGGAGTGGCTGGGAGGGGGAGGAGGAGGGGGAGGAGGAGGAGGGGGAGGAGGCGTCCCAGGGCTGAGAAAGGTGCTGGCCGAGACGCTCTCCGCCAGGCTGTGCCCCGGGGCGCAGGACGGCGAGGCGGACGAGGCGGACGAGGAGGAAGGGGATGGGGGGCTGCCTTCGCCGCGACAGCGGTGGGGGGCGTCGCGAGAGGAGGGGGGGTGCGCCTGGGGCGCGCGGCGTGCGAGCGTGCTGGCCCTGCGCAGCGCGACGCTGCAGGACGCGGGCTCGTTCGCCTGCGTGCTGCTGGCGCTGGCGCGCGGTCACCGCGTGGTGGCGCGCGCCGTCGACGTCGTCCGCGTGGAGGTCGGCGCCGGTAAACTGCGCGGGGTTGGGGGGCGGGGGAAGGGCTGTTGGGGGGGGGGGGCTCCAGACACGCGCCGCTGTCACCACGCAGAGTCCGACTCGCGGCCGTGGTGATGCTAATTGTTATTTTTAGACTTAAAGCTTTCGTGACTACAGGGATTCATATTCTTGGTTCTTTCGGTAAAGTCACGTAGATAGAAAACAAAACAAAAATTATAAAATAAAAATAATAAGATAAAATAAATAAATAATAAATAATAAATTGCTTTTATTATTTTTCAACGTATTATTTTTATGTAATTTTATTATTTTTATTTTATTATTTTTATTTTAAGATTTTTTTTTTCCTATTTACGTGACTTTACCGAAAGAATCAATAATATAATACTATCTTGATTTGAAGCTTTCGTGACTGCAGGAATCCATACTCTTTGGTTCTTTCGGTAAAGTAACGTAGGTAGAAAATAAAAATAAAATAAATCACGACGTTTCGATCGCAACACAAGCAGTCGTCCTCAGGGAGAAAATACAATCCAGCAGTGGAACTGCTAAACCAGCGAGAGAGCTGTTACAACAAGAGGTTATATATGTGGCGATGGGCAAGCAAGCGGGGTCTGAGCTGGAAAGGAATTCCATCCACGGACGCAAGCACGTCAGTTGTATTAATGGGGGAGATTAGGGAGCAGTGTTAATGAGAGATTACCATCATGAGAGTGCAATCCAAAGGGCACGTGAGCATCCGACCTGCCTATGTCAGCTGTTATTTCCGACTCTCTGTCTCTCTCTCTCTCTCTATGCCTCTCTCTTCGATCTCTCACATGTACTTTGGATTGCGTGTTGGTAATTACAAGCCCATAGGCTGCACAAAAATCGAGCAGCCTCCTGCCGTGGTTATTGAGCTGATCTGGCCCATGCCTTACAATTATTCTAGACCAGGTGCCAGCATCATGACCAACTCGGGCATTGAAGTCACCCAACAAGATGACTCTATCCCGAGGGGCCACTTTAGCTAGCACCTGTGACAGGAGGTCATAGAAGGCATCTGACTCATTGGCCTTGCCTGCATCCCACCACGGATGTTCGTCTTCAATGGGGGCATAAGTAATCACAACCACCACTCCTCGCCTCTGGTTGATGGAAAGGCGAGCCCAAAGTAGCCTGGGGCTTACAGCTTCCCACACCTCACCGCCACGCTCCCACTCCCCTTCATACTTTTGTTCAGAAGAAGAGCCACTTCATGTTGTTTGGCAGTCTCCTTCCCCGAGTAGAGGACTGTCCACCCCTCATTGTGGCAGGAGCCAGAGCCGGTCCACCGGACCTCCTGAATACCACAGAGATCCAGGCGGTATTGGTCCAGCTCCCAACAGAGGAGTGGCAGCCTCTCCTCCGCACTGAGCATTCAAACATTCCACGTGGCCACACGTAGTGGTTTTTTGTTGTTTCTGGAGGTGTCCCGAGGGTAAGGATTCTGTCTCCTGGCTCCGCCAAATGGGGTTTGGCCAGGAGACGTCATAGACGCCTGTCCCCCCGGGGCCTCCGGCACAAGCTTATTTATAAAATGTTGTGGTCGTGGTTTAATGGTAATTAATTGAAGGTGGAGGGGTTACCAACCCCTCGCACCCATCTAGAGCCCCCATTTAGCCGCTGTGGTGGTTACAAATGCCCTGAGGGGAAAGGCCAATCGGAATTGCCCCTCCCCCCACGGCAGTGCCCACGAAAACGTTGCCCGTCCGGCACCACACCTGCCTACCCACCCTACCCACGAACCCGCGCCAGGATGTCGCGCCTGTGCCGTGCGACCCGAACGAACCCGCGCTCCGGTCTCTCTCCCCAACCCCCAAACTTCTCAGCTCCTGCTCCGTCGCGTGCGCCGATCGCAGCGCGCCTCTCTCCCGCGTCGCCCCTCTTCGTGCCGCCGGGTGGCGACGCGACGCTGTGGTGCTCCGTCGACTCCTCCTCCCTCTCCGAGGTGTCCGTCAGCTGGAGCGTCGCCGACGCCGCCGCCTCGTCGTGGACGCCGCTGCTCGGGCTGCGATCCGACGGGGAGCCCTGGGTGCACGAGCGCTCGAGGTGGCGCCACGCGCTCGGGCGGCTGTGCCCCGACGGGGCGCCCTGCGGCCCGAGCGGCCGCCTGCACCGCCTGGTGCTGCGCGCGTTCGGCGCGGGCGACCAGGGCCGCTACGCGTGCGAGGCGGCGGGGCGCGGGGCGCGGGACGCGGGCCGACTCGTGGCTCGTGACGAGGTCCTGGTGCTGCTGCTGCTGGACGGTGAGTAATTAACACTAGTCTCTACAAGGAGTCACTAACACTAGTCACCACCACGAGTTTCCACCACGAATCTCTGCCACGCACCGCAGGGTTGGTGCACAGCGGCGGGTTTCTTGCGGTAGAGACCCGGTTTGCCCCACTTTTTGATGAGGACAAATAAATCGCGCGGTGACTTGTGCCGCCGTGCGGTTTGTAGAATTTCGCAAGCCAATCAGTACATTTTTACTGACATCCCCCCCCACACACACCTGCCTACCCACACACACACCTGCCTACCCACACACACATACACACCTGCCTACCCACACACACACCTACACACACACACCTGCCTACACACACACACCTACACACACACACACCTGCCTACACACACACACCTACACACACACACCTACCCACACATACTCCTACACACACACACCTACCTACCCACACACCCAGACGGAGCAACGGATCCGAGCCGAGCGCCGCCTCTGGGCCTCGGCACCGCGACGCGACCCCCCAGCGGCGGGGCCACGGGCGGCCTGCCCGCTGAGGGGGGGCGCAGCGGCGAGGCGCTGCGCCCGGAGGACGTGGGGGGGGGCGCCCTCACCGCCTCACCAGGGGGCCGGGAACGACCGGACCCGAGGGCAGGTGACGGAACCGCGAAGAAGATTTATCTCCCACTCTCTCTCCCGCTCTCTCTCCCGCTCTCTCTCCCGCTCTCTCTCTCCCGCTCTCTCCCGCTCTCTCTCCCGCTCTCTCTCCCCTCTCTCTCCTGCTCTCTCTCTCCCTCTCTCTCCTGCTCTCCCTCCCGCTCTCCCTCCCCTCTCCCGCTCTCTCTCCCACTCTCTCCCTTTCACTCTCCTCCTCTCTCTCCCGCTTTCTCTCCCCTCTCTCTCCCGCTCTCTCTCTCTCTTTTTACGATCAGAGGAAACAAGAAGATGCTCAGTGTAGTCGGCACATTGCTTCGTTCATCATTTCGGTTTTTTTCTTTGCTTTATGTAACCCCCCCCCCCCCCTCTCTGCTCCCCTCTTTCTTTACCCCCTCTCGCTCACTCTTTCACTCTCTCGCGTTCTCCCTCTCGCTCTCTTTTTTTTTACTACGACAAGTGCTGCATCTGCACGCAGCCCTTCTCGCAGTCCAACGGACTCCGACGGGTAGCATATATCTGCATGCAGAGCTCTCCGTCATCTGCCACCGAGCACACGGCCTCCTCCAGCGCCTACTGCTCCTTGAAGGCAGGCATGGCGTGGGACAGCCGCGCATGGCGGAACTCCAGCCCACACCCTGGCTCCGACCAGAGCGTGGAAGATGCCCAGGCTGTTGGCCGGACGTTTCCCCTCCAGGGCCACCTTCCTCGTCCTGTATATGGCGAGCTTGGCGTAGCTGACGAGCACGTTGACCAGCCCCTGAAGATGTTGGGGTCCTTCGGATATCCAAAGATGAGGACCGTCGGGGAGAAGTGGAGGCTGAACCTTAGAAGGATGTTTCTCAGGACGTTGAAGAACAAGTCCAGGCTTTTGCACTCCACGTATTGATGCGTCACCGTCTCCACTTTACCGCAGAACCAGCACTCCGGGGACGTGTCGGTGAAGCGTGCCAGAGAGGTGTTGGTGGTGACGGTGCCATGGGCGATGCTCCAGCTGAGGTCACCGATGCGGTTGTATGTCGGGCTGGAGTAGAGTTTCCTCCAGCGAGGCCTCTCTGGAGAGATGCAGGGCAGGGCTTTCCTCCAGGCATGGTCCTTGTGGCTCCTCATGGTGTCCTGTTGGTGAAACCGGACCATGTAGGAGTAGAGCACCTTCCTCTTTACATTTGCGAAGGCCACCTCCGGTAGGTCTTCCAGCCGGCACAGGTTGTGATCCACCTTCGTTGGTCGGCATTGGCGATGCAGCGGCACGACGGAGAGCTCCGGTGGAGGGGGACCGAGAGGGGCCTCGTCATCCCCAACGCTGATGGGGGGCGTTCTCCCCGCTACCGCTGAGAAGGCTCCCTTGGCTTCGGCCAGGATCCGGGCAGCCACCCGGAGCGACTGCAGCCCCCGTCTTTGCGGCCATGTCTGCTGGTCCGAGCCACCGGCCCCGTGTTTCAGGCTCTACCAGATCTCCCATCCTGATGAGCCACGCATTGGCGAGGTGCCTCTCCATGCCGGGGGTGGCGGTGGTGGATGGCAGCTTTGTCTGTGGGTTCCTGAGGATCGGTTTGAAGACGAGATCCTCGGCCGATCGCGGCTGGTTCAGCCTCCTGACGGCGAGGGAGCTCCATGTCTGCAGGACGCTCTTGTAGAAAGGTGGCAGCTGTCCCAGTGGGAGGCCCTGCAGGTCCAAGTACAATAGTTGTTTGGAGCACTGCAGACCCCCCAGTTGTTTCAGGAGGAAGGAGGCCGTGACGCTCGAGGCCGGTGCAGGGGCGGCATGCAGGAACTTTTGTGCGGCCTGCAGTCGGAAGGTGGCCAGCTGACTCCGCACGCAAACCGGCCCGGGACCGCCCTCGTCCAGTGGCAGGGCCAGGACCCCAGCCGCGACCCGGTGTCCTCCGCCCGACCAGAAGAAGTCGAGGACTCGCTTCTGAAGCGCATTGACGAGGCTCATGGGGGGGGTGCAGGGACAAGAGTCGGTGCCACAGCATGGACGTCACCGGCTGGTTCACCACCAACGTCTTTGTCCTGAAGGTGAGGAACTTGCACAGGCGACTCCAGGTGCCCAGCCGCTCCTTCACCTTCTCCTCCAGCTCGACCCAGTTCCTTTGCGGTGGTTCCTCTTCTGGTCCGAGGAACACCCCCAGGTGGTGCAGCGATGTTGTGCTCCAATTGATGGTTTTTGTCTTCTCCGGACACTCGGTCATGTCCCACGCTCCAACCAGCAGTCTGCTGCACTTTTTCCAGTTCATTTTTGATGAGGAGGCCTTTGAAAAGACCTGCTGACACTCGTGCAGTAGGGCGACATCATCCAGAGAACGAAGAATGAGGAGGATGTCGTCGGCGTATGCCGTCAGGACCAACTTGACACTTGGTTCCCTGAGCACCAGGCCGCTGAGTCTCCGCCTTATGAGACTCAGCAAAGGCTCTAGAGCCAGGGCGTGAAGTTGGCCCGACAATGGGCATCCCTGTCTCACTCCTCGCTCGAATTTGACCGGGGCAGTGAGGACGCCGTTGACCTTGATCATGCACTCCGCCTTGGTGTAGGATCATTCAGACAAAGCCATCCCCAAAACCAAAGGTCTTGAGGGTTCCCAGCAGGTATTTGTGGTCCACTCTGTCAAAAGCCTTTTCCTGGTCAAGGGCCAGAAACGCGATTGGGATGCCCAACCTCTGGGACACTGCGATGAGGTCCCTGACCAGGAAGATGCTGTCATGGATGGATCGTCCGGGGATGGTGTAGGACTGGTCCCTGTTTACGACTTGTGCAATCACCCCTTTCAGTCACAGGGAGAGAGCCTTTGTCAATATTTTGTAGTCTGTATTCAGGAGGGACACCGGACACCAGTTTTGTAGGTGCCTCAGGTCTCCGTTCTTGGGAAGCAGAGCGAGCACCGCCCTCCTCCAAGACTGAGGCATCACCCCGGTCACTGAGGCTTCCTCCAGCACCCCTCTGTAGTCCTCCCTTAGGGATGGCCAAAAAGCGGCGTAAAACTCCCCTGTTAGCCCGTCTAACCCTGGGGATTCATTTGGGGCCAGTCCTACAGCTGCATCAAGGTCATTCCTGGTGAGCTTTTGCTCTAGTAGCTCTTTCCCGTCTTCCCCCAGGGTGGGTAGACCACTCCATGCCTCCGCCTGGGCCGCTCCCGATGTTTCTTCAGGGGAGAACAGGCTGCCGTAGAAGTCTCTGATGATGGTCGACTTCTGCTGGAGTTCGTGCGCCAAGACACCGTCACCATCAAAGAGGCACTCCATGGATTTGCATCTCCCGTTCTGCCTCCCGAGGGAGTAGAAAAGCGGGGATCCTGTGTCGAGGTCGGTGATGAGCTTCACCCGGGAGCGCACAAATGCCCCCCTCGTCTGCTCCTCCTGTAGCCCTTTGAGACGCTCCCTATTCTCCTCGTATTCTCGGAGAAGAGCAGGGTCGCTGTCCTCGGCGAGGCGACCCTCCAAATCGAGGACTCGGGCTTCCATGTCGGCGATGTCCACATTCTTCAGTCTGGTGCTCCCCCAGGTGTATTGTTGGCACAACAGCCTGGTGGGCACTTTTCCCATATCCCACCACTGGGCCAGAGAGTCGAACTGTGTTTTAGTTTTTCGCCACTCTTCCCAGAAGTCCTCGAACATTTCTATGAAGGAGCCATCCTCCAGCAGCGAGTTGTTAAAATGCCAGTGGGACGCTCCCTCGTGGGCCCTCTCCAGCCTGACACGGAGCACGATGAGGTTGTGGTCCGTGAAGGGTGCCGCCCTGATGCCAGACATTATGGCGCACGTCACAAAGCTCTTGGAGATGTAAAATCTGTCGAGCCTGGACTGTGTCACCGAGCCATCGCGCCTCGTCCTCGTGTACGTGAACTGGCGTTGGCCAGGGTGATGTATGCACCACACATCCACCAAGGCAGCGTCCTCCAGGAGTCCCTGCATTTCCCTCTTTGGCCCAACTCCCCCCGGCTGCCTACCCGATCGATCCAGGGCACCGAGTGTGCAGTTGTGGTCGCCACCCACAATCACGCACTCGTCGTCTGGGATCCCGGCCAAGGTGCCTCCTCAGGAGGTGCAGAAACGGGATCTTCTCCTTGTTGGTCACCGGCGCGTACACGCTCAGTAGGTGGGTGGTGACATCGCCCACCCTGACCGTTACCCCGAGCAGCCTTCCCTTCACCACTTCAGTCTGGGTGATGAGCTCGGGATTTAGCAAACAGGGTCGCGACTCCACAGGAGGTGTTATCAAGGTGGCTGTAGAAGGAGTCCCCTCCCCATTCCTTCCTCCAGTCATCCTCGTCCTCGACCGTGAGATGCGTCTCCTGAATGAAGAAGACAGAGGCAGCGTGTTTCCTCGCAAGAGACATTGCGGAAAACCTCCACACTGCCTCCCTGCACCCGTTCACGTTTAGGGAGACGATGTACATAGGCATTGCTTGTTCCTTGCTTCCGTGGCCTCCCTCCTAGTAATTTGTTTGCAGAAGTATCTCAGCTTTGGGCTCTCCCTGCCCCGGGACTCGAGTCCCTGCTTGGCGAAGAGTCTCTCGGCTTGAGTCACCGAGGCCTTCATTGCCTTGCTGTCCTTCCCTTGAGCCAAGGCAATGTCCACTCTGTCCTTCCTCACGTTAGTCTCGTCCAGGAAGTGCCAGAGATCTTCCGGGGAGACCAGGGAAGTCTGAGGGTCAAGGAGTGTAGACCCCTGGCTGCTCTCGTTCCCCATGCTGAAGCAGTCGTCCCGATCTGAGTCGATTTCCCCGGCGTCCGGCTCCGCTGGAAGAGCTGCAGCGGCTGGGCTGGCGCATGGCCCAGCGGCGTCCTCTCCCCCAGTGTCAGGGAAGGCCTGGGATGGCTCCTGCTCAGGCTCTTCGGGTGGATGGCTCCGGAGTGTCTCTTCCACTGGTTTTGGGTCAGCAGTGGGACGGGGACCTTCTTCCTCATTCCCATCCATTTCGTCCTCGCCCTTGTTGAGTGTGCTCGATGTCTCTCCGCTGACTTCCTCCTCCTGGTCGAGGGCTGAGCAAATAGGATTTGTCCTCGCTTCATGCATAGCTGGTGGGGAGTGAGTTTCTATGACCACAGTAGACGGGTCCCCAGACGCACGCTGCTTCTTCCTCTTGGCGGGTTTCTTCCTCGCCGCCCGCGCGTCACTCGGCGTGGCGTCCGGGATGGCGAAAGCCGCGTCTTCGGCGTCTGGCAGCTGTTCTGCTTCCTCCCTAGTGTGGGGGGTTTCACCGCTTCTTCCGGTTCGAGGTCTGGGAGGAGATCCTCCTCTGAATTTGACCCTTGCGATCCGGGTTCTTCTGTATTTTTCTCTTGCGATTTGTTGGTTGAGGCGGCGATGTTGGGGCCACGACCTCAGGTGTAGGAAGCTGCGTGGCTGGCGGGTCCGATGTGGGCTGTTGAGGGCCTTGTTGCAGTGGGGGCTCTTGCTGCTTTGCCTCCTTTGCCTTGCCTCCCCCCTCCCCGTTCTTTTCTCCGACCCTTGCCATTGTCGGCTTAGGGCAATCCCTTCGGAAGTGCCCCTCTTCTTTGCAAATATTGAATTTGATGCAATCCTTGGCATAAAACAGTCTAAGGGCAATGCCTGCATAGACAATCACAAAAGAGCCCTCCTCCTGCTGTCCGGGAGTCAGCAGGACATGCACCTGCCTCCTGAAAGATAAAATGTGTTTCATAGCGGGGTCTCTCCCCGCCAGTGGCAGGGCACATACTGGCATCACGATCGTGCCCAGCTTGGACACGTGCTCCAACACGGCCTTGTCGGGGATGTAGGGCGGCACGTTCGAAACGACGATTCGCGCCGCCACCGAAGCGACGGGTTCCAGTTGGACGTCGAGTCCCCCCACGGTCATCCACTTCTCGACGACCGCATCGGCCACCTTTTTCGTCATCAGGTAGAAGACGGCTTTCCCGCTGATCTTCGAGGCGTGGGTGACGGTGGCTGGCGGGACGATGGCGGCCAGGGCCGCAATGTACTCCTCGATCGTGACGGAGCTCGAGGCGTAGCAGCGGATGCCGTTGTTGCGCGGTGGCAGTGGTCGCTGCGCGCTTGGGGGGGTGGCCTTGGAGCAGAGGCCCGAGTGGGGGGCCTCGTGACTCCGGGCAGATTGGCAGCTGCGACTCTTGCTGAGTAAAAACTCGCTCTCTCTCCCGCTCACTCTCTCCCACTCACTCTCCCGCTCACTCTCCCGCTCTCTCTCCCGCTCACTCTCCCGCTCTCTCTCCCTCTCTCTCCCCCTCTCCCTCCCGCTCTCCCTCCCGCTCTCTCTCCCGCACTCTCTTCCGCTCACTCTCCCGCTCTCCCTCCCGCTCACTCTCCCGCTCTCTCTCCCGCTCACTCTCTCCCGCTCACTCTCCTGCTCACTCTCCCCCTCTCTCTCCCGCTCTCTCTCCCGCTCACTCTCCCGCTCACTCTCCCGCTCTCTCTCCCGCTCACTCTCCCGCTCACTCTCCCGCTCACTCTCCCCCTCTCTCTCCCGCTCTCTCTCCCGCTCACTCTCCCGCTCACTCTCCCGCTCACTCTCCCGCTCGCTCTCCCGCTCACTCTTTCCCGCTCACTCTCCTGCTCACTCTCCCCCTCTCTCTCCCGCTCTCTCTCCCGCTCACTCTCCCGCTCACTCTCCCGCACTCCCTCCCGCTCTCTCTCCCGCTCTCCTCTCCCGCTCACTCTCCCGCTCACTCTCCCGCTCTCTCTCCCGCACTCCCTCCCGCTCTCTCTCCCGCTCTCTCTCTCTCCCGCTCACTCTCCCGCTCCCTCTCCCGCTCTCTCTCCCCCTCTCTCTCCCGCTCTCTCTCCCGCTCACTCTCCCGCTCACTCTCCCGCTCTCTCTCCCGCTCACTCTCACTCTCCCGCTCTCTCTCCCGCTCTCTCTCCCGCACTCCCTCCCGCTCTCTCTCCCGCTCTCTCTCCCGCTCACTCTCCCCGCTCTCTCTCCCGCACTCCCTCCCGCTCTCTCTCCCGCTCTCTCTCTCTCCCGCTCACTCTCCCGCTCACTCTTCCGCTCTCTCTCCCCCTCTCTCTCCCGCTCTCTCTCCCGCTCACTCTCCCGCTCTCTCTCCCGCACTCCCTCCCGCTCTCTCTCCCGCTCTCTCTCTCTCCCGCTCACTCTCCCTCCATCGCTCACTCTCCCGCTCTCTCTCCCGCTCTCTCTCCCGCTCACTCTCCCGCTCACTCTCCCGCTCTCTCTCCCGCTCACTCTCCCGCTCACTCTCCCGCTCTCTCCCGCTCTCTCTCCCGCACTCCCTCCCGCTCTCTCTCCCGCTCTCTCTCCCGCTCACTCTCCCGCTCACTCTCCCGCTCTCTCTCCCGCACTCCCTCCCGCTCTCCCTCCCGCTCTCTCTCTCTCCCGCTCACTCTCCCGCTCACTCTCCCGCTCTCTCTCCCCCTCTCTCTCCCGCTCTCTCTCCCGCTCACTCTCCCGCTCACTCTCCCGCTCACTCTCCCGCGCTCTCTCTCTCCCGCTCACTCTCCCGCTCACTCTCCACTCTCCCGCTCACTCTCCCTCTCCCCACCACACAGAGACGCCGCCAGGGGGACCCCTGGGCCCTGCCGCGGTAGGGTCCCTGGCGGGGGTCTTCGGGTGCCTCTTGGTCGTGGCCGTCTTTGTCTCCCTGTGCTGCCTGCGGCGAAGATATTGGCCGACT